CTCCTACATCCGCACGTGCGAGTACGCACCTGCGGTCTCCCCACCGCAGGTGCGAAACTACCAGATATTAGAAGGCTTTAGCCATTTGCCTAAGTNCCCGAGGCCCCCGGGACCTCAACCAAATATACCGACAAGTCCTAAAACATCATACGAACTTAGTCGAGCCCTCAAAATACGTCAAACAGCAACAAAAACACGAATCACCCTCCAATCCAAACTTAATGAACTTCAAAAATTTCAAATTCTACAAACGATGCTGAAACCTATCAAATCACGTTTGATTGACCTCAAATTTTGCACACAAGTCATCAACATTACGGACCTACTTCAACTTTCGAAATTGGAATACGACCCCGATATCAAAAAGTCAACACCCAGTTAAACTTCCCAAAAATTCGACTTTCGCCATTTCAACCATAAATTAGCTACAGACCTCAAATTCACTGTCCGGACACGCTCCTATGTCCAAAATCACCCAACGGAGCTAACGAAACCGACAGAACTCCATTTCGGGATCGTCTTCACACAATTCCGACTACGGTCAAAAATCCTAAGACTTAAGCTTTCATTTTAGGGTCTAAGTGTCCCAAACACTCCGAACCCAAAATCAAGACCTCCCGACAAGTCACATAAGCAGAGACAAATACAGGGGAAGCAGTAAATAGGGGATCGGTGCTAATACACTCAAAACGATCAGTCGGATCGTTACAGGTCGGTACTTTTGTGGACGGATTTTGCCAGATTTCTAGTAATGATGAGATATTCTTACTCGGAAGCTTAGAAGTGGGTGGTTCTTGTTTCTAATCAGATCAAAATTTGTGAGACCCAGCAATTTGCATTCAATCCTAACCTCTTATCTAGGGCTTCCTTGTGATGCTAAATTTAAAGATAAAAAGATATGGCAGGCATCATTGATAAGATGGAGAAGAAATTATCACCATGGAAGAAACAATATTTATTCTTTGGAGGTAGACTGACCCAGGTAAAGAGTGTTTTGGATGGTATTCCCGACTTATTTAATGTCTCTTAAACCCATTCCTATTAGTGTGGAGAAAAGAATCACTAAGTTAAGACGTGACATCCTATTGGAAGGCAACCCGGAGAAAAAGAAAATGCATTTGGTTAGTTGGAAAAAGGTGATGACTTGTAAAAGAGGTGGAGGCTTGAGTGTGATGAATCTTAAACTCCAAAGAGCTTACTTTGTAAGTGGTTATGGAGACTGAACTATAGCAAGAAAGAACTTTGGGAAGATATTATTTCCACTAATTATAACATCAATAACAATAACAAAAAACCCAGTGTAATCCTACAACCCGTGCTTTGCCTAACAAAGTAAGCTCTATGAAAAAAGAAGAAGCAATCTTTGGTGTGATTTGCCGCTGATAAGATTGAAAGTGGGAGATGGAAAGTTAATCAGATANTAAACTCAAAAAAAAAAAAAAAAAAGGAGCTTACTTTGTAAGTGGTTATAGACACTGAACTATAGCAAGAAAGAACTTTGGAAAGATATTATTATCACTAAGTATGGGAAGGAAAATTATTGAGCTCCTAAACTCGTGCTTTCCTAACAAAGTAAGCTCTAAGGAAAAAAAAAAAGCAATCTTTGGTGTGATTTGCCGCTAATAAGATTAAAAGTGGGAGATGGAAAGCTTATCAGATTTTGGATCGATCACTAGCTTGATGTTGGAGTACTCAAAGACCAATTTCCGGATTTATACAACTTAGTCGCCAACAAAGATGTTCTGGTAGCTGATTGTGTCTCTAACTCTGGATGGTAGCTTCATTTAAAAGAAATTTGAAGTTGGGAAGTATTTCTCTGTTGCTGGAAATTTTGCAGCATGTGGTTCAAGATGACAAAAAAAGAGACTCCCAAATCCGGCTAGCATGTAAATCTGAAACTTTCTCAGTGAGTAGCCGGAGAAAAGGCCCAAAATAGTTAGTATCATTGGAATTTAACTCAAACTAGTACTATTTATTTCACATGGAGCACTAATAGTCCGTATTCTTTACTAAAGTTGTACATTTTTAGTCTCCGTGTTTGATATGTGGAAAACTTTTTCCTCGTGTGGTACACTTTTAGTCTCCATGTTTGATATGAATTGAAAAATATTTTCTTCATGAACTCATTTTTCTCCAATTGGAGGAAAATGTTTTCCCTGTCAGGAGAAGGAAAAATATTTTCCAAAATTTTTCTTCAACCTTCCACACCCTTTTCTTCACTGTTTACATTTTCTAGCAATATACATAGATTATATATTTATTATACATAATTATACACACATAATACATAAATTATACATATATTATACTTCCATTGGCTATTTTTAATTTAAGCAGTTAAGTAGGTGGCTATTTGGGTTAAATTTTCTTCTTTTTATGATGTAGAATAAATATTTTTTTCATTTCAACAAAATGATGTAGCAAAAAGTATTTTCTTTTCATGATATAGAAAAAGTTTTTTCTTTCATTTTAACAAAATGAGTACTTCTTTCATGTTGTAGAAAGAGTACTTTCTTTTTCAACCAAAAAAGAGTATTTTTTTAGTTGTGTAACACAAATTTCAATGTTGTTTTTGCGAGAAAAGGTAAAGCAACACATTAGTCACTTTGGGTTTGTGTAAATTTTTAAAAGAATAATAAAAATTTTGAAGAAAATAGAGTCTTTAAAACGTTGGGTAATTGGGGTTGGGGGAGAGGAGGGGAGAGGAAAGGGAGCACGGGAAACGTGGGGATTTGGGATAAGGGGGAGGGGGGGTTAGAAAAGTAGCATAAAAATTTTCTAAAAAATATTTTTTACTCTCTAAATAAAAACTAGAAAAAAATTCTCGGAAAAAGTTTGTCACTTACCAACCAAACGAGGAAAAATAAATGATGACCACTCATTTTCTAGGATGGAAAATATTTTCTTTTCATATCAAACATAAAGACTAATAGTGTACCACTTTATTAAATAACGTGGACTATTAGTGCTCCATGTGAAAGAAATAGGACTAATTTGAGTTAAAGTCCAAAGATACTGGACTATTTTAGGTCTTTTCTCCGAGTAGCTGTTACGGTTTATTTTTGAAATAGGCACGAGGACGGGAGAAGGAATGACCTTGGAGATCAATCAGGAAGTCTTACTCAAGATAAGCTACAACAGAGGGATTTCATTATGCAGCAGATGCCTTCCTTGTAGTAACTTTGTGGAGGACAGCAACAAAAATAACCCAGTATAAACTCACAAGTGGGGGCGTAGTGGGCAGACCTTACACCTACCCTGTGGGTTAGAGGACAGCAACTATCGTCTACCTATATTTGCTTTGTAGCTTCACTTGGTAGATATAATCTATTTTTGTTGATCGGTTTGGAAGTTTGTTGGGTGATCCACAAGATGAGAAGCAGCTTCTTTTATGATGGTATGGGCAGAAGCTGGATAGTGGATGAATACAGATTTGGAGGACTATTCCCATGTGTATCATCTGGACTATTTGGCTTGAAAGAAACATGAGATGTTTTGATGTGAAGGCTGAGCATATCTCTTTTGTAAACTTTAAAAGTCTGCAAACTCTATACTTTTAGTGCAGGAGGAACATACTTGATAGCATGACAGTTTTTGGAGTCATTGCTATGTTATCTGTAGTCATATTTTCTCCTCCCTTGTTGTTTACTGTCATTTTTCCAACTAACAATACTCACAGTGTCAAAATTAAGTAAAGGAGATACCAGAAAGCAGCTTCAGCCGCAGGAAGCCCCCTACAGTCACTCTGGTAACCCCCAACAGGATACTAGACTCATATAAATCCAACAACAACAAAATTCAAACTCAAAACCTGACCAAGAGAGATGATAGAATCTGGTCCCAGGCAGTTTTTCTCCAAAACGTGGTCCTTTCTCCCTAGATAGGTAGCGAAAATCATTTTCCAAGTCTTAAGCACAGACGAGGCAACACCTATTTCTGGCGAGTCAACAGTTGTAACTCCGACGTATCACGAATTCAACTCAGAGAAGAGTCTGATACCATGTAATAGACAATGTATTGGAGAGTTTCTTGTATGTTATTCCAAGAAGTAAGAGGTATAAATCCATGTACATTGGGCTCCAACTTCCAATTAAGGAAAGAATAACAAAACGAATCCTACAAATTTGCTACGAGTCTACATATTTGCTATCTATAAATGGATAATGTATATTAAATTGAAGTATGACACTGTGCATTCAGTCACAAGCACCATGAATTTTCCTGGGGAGTCTAGTTTATAGTATCTGTGGTGACGTCCAACCTACACCTCTTAATGAAGCGTAGCACGGTCATTAGCAATAATAAACCCAACAAAGGTTGGGGTCGAATCCCACAAGGAGTGGGTGTGTGTTAGTGTTTAAATGCGTGCAAACTCATTTTTAATGTAATATTCAAACAAAAAGTGGTTGTTCGATTTATTCTAAAGTTACTTCTAAAATTTCTATGTAAACTAGTCTAGTAATTTTATCGAACACTTAGAATGCAAGTAAATATATAGTTGTAACAAATAAGAGAAATGCGCTAGGATTGCTTCCCCTTCATGTAAGCTATGCTTTTGGGTATATAAATGTTCAATTCTAGTTAATTAAGCATGTGTTATGGCCTCAATTTATATTCCACCAACTTAATTTCTTCTAACTAAGGCTCAATGATACTATTCCAAGTCAACTAAGGCTCAATGATAAACAATTGATTAGCCAAATTAGAAATCACACTATTCCTAGCTAGATTTCATTAATCAAGCGGTTAACCTACTTAATTCCTTGCTAATTACCTTATACCTAAGCTAAGTTCCACTCTTCCAAGTTAGAACAAGCAAAATAGGCATGGATTTAGTGTTTGCAACTACAAAATCAATCAATAAGTAATTAGAGAACACAAAGCTTAATTAAATATAGAACTAATATGAATAACTCAAAAACAAAGTCACACTTAAGGTTCACAATCCTAGCTTAATAAACTTAGCTAGACATATTAAGGAAGAAAAATACAAAAAGAAATGAAAAACCAAACATAATAGCTAAAGAGGAAAAAAAGATTGTGTAGAACAATGGTGAAGTCACCCAAAATCCCAAAGAAGAATCCCAAAAGCTGCTACACAAAATATTCTTGCCAAAAAGATGCCCTAGAATGACTTAAAATAGCTATTTATACCAAGTCCAAAAAGTGAAAAATAATTGCCATGTTGGGCCAACCGTGAGACAGCTGAACCGTAACGAATTCCAAAAGTTTCATTTCTTAAACTCTTCAAGCTTCTCTTGAACCGTAACCGCGTCCAACGGTCTGACTAAAAGTCTTTTTGCTTCAACTTTCTCCAATTTTAGCTCTAAGGTGATGACTTCTTGCCCATTTTTTATATTCTCCAATTTCAAAGTTCTCACACAACTTCAAAACCTGAAAATACACCATTCAAAGCACAATTATCCAATTTATTCCAACAAATGGGGCATTTAACTCTATCAAAACATAAGAATAATTAGCTAAAAAGCTAACGAATCAATCTGCAGAAAGAAAAATATTAGGTGCTGAAATAGTGAAGTAATACTCATAATGCTGTAGAACTGGAACTTAGTACATGCTTATGAGCTCTTTATAGCTTTGTCAGGAAACAATTTCATAATTACCTGATGTCTAGCTCCTGCCTTACAGATATCAAGCACAAGCTAACACAAATTCGCTCAAACTCACGAGACTGCTGTTATAAAAAAAAACAATCCTCGTTGGCAGCAGCTTTGGTAATTTTATGAAATTTATCAGAGGAATAAAAATCGTTTGAAGGATAAGGTATGAATTGAAACTAACCTATCAAGTGCCAATGAAGCAGTTCTTAAAGTTACAATCCAAGATCTGGAGGGAATACAGAAAGCTTGCATCCGCATCTGTTAGTGCTACCCTCTTCTTTTCTTAGTCGCCTCTTTAGTATTACTCGTGCAGATTTAGCGGCAGATTCACTGGTATAGTGCAGTTCCATTAGCTGGAGGCTTTGCGCATCAGCAAGTGCAGCTGGGAGTTCCTCAAGCTTATCACATGATATAAGAACAAGGCGTTTTAGTTGTGGAAAGTTCCCGGATGAGGCCTTCCAAGAAGATAGATCTGTCCTTTCAATCCATAGGACTTGCAGACAAGGAAAACCACCATCCTCGGGTTCCCACGACTGTCCCCTAAATGCATTTTGTTTCAGCTTCAGCACTTCAAGGTACTCTAATAGACCTAATATAGACATATCTTTCCATTCGAACCAAGTATCTATCAGAGTGAGCTTTTTCAGCTTCTGAGGAAAAATATATGCTGGAGGAAGGTGTAGCTGTTTACCACTTTGACGAGTATCATTTACCAACTTCAGATTTTCGAGGCAATCTAACTTGCCTATGTTGCCGAACAAACCAGAGCCAGATCCATCCTTACTGGTTTCTAGAAGTGCAGCTATTTTTCCACGAACACCTAATTTCTTGAGATTAGGAGTTCTAGTAAAAATTTCTGCAGTGCAACATTCAGGTGCTATAGTAGAAAGTGTTTGTAGGTAATGATTCACCTCCTTTCTGCTCTTGGAGTGCTTAGGGGATGGCAATATAGCAGAGGCATTTGTGCACACATGCCTTAATGTTGTCATATTCCAAATGTCTGCTTTAATGTCAAGAGTACCCTGTTGTGTCTCAATTATAAGTGTTTGTACATTCCAAAGATTCCCAATGTTTGAAGGAATGGTCATAATCGAGTCAGTTGAGAAAGCCATGTACCTCAAATGGAATAATTTGAAGAATTCTTTAGGAAAACGACTGAACTTGATTGATTCCGCATCTAGTACCCTAAGCAAGGGAAAGGCTCGGGGGATTATATCACCTAAAGGCATCTCAAATTTTTTCGAGGCAAAGCATAAGAACGACCTAACATGCTCACCAAAGGGTTTTGTTGATAAGAATTCAGAAACAGAGGAATGAATACACAAGCGACGATAAGTGGCTAACTCTTGTTTCTCTGGAAAAGAATGTTCCTGCCCTCGTTTGATTTCCTGAAAAAGATTTTCCTCCATCATAGCCTCATGTCTGCAGAACTCACGCAATATGTCATGAACACGACATGTTTTAATTTGACCACTAGAACCCCTCTGCATTACCATCACTAAGTTCCTATTGACAAGATAATTCAAGTGGTCCTCTGCTACATCCTCTAGAGTCAATGGTCTGTTGTAGTGTATGAATCCTTCCGCGATCCATAAACTAATCAACTTCCGAGCTGAAATTTCAGAACCACCAGGAAAAGTGCCACAATATAAGAAGCACATCTTTAAATCATAAGGCAAACAATCATAACTCATCTGCACCAATTTCTTGCAGTTCTCTGGATCTCTATTTATCAGGTGCTCACCCACACTGTCAGCCACCAGCTTCCACTCCCTTGTTGTCTTTCCTTTGCCCATCAAAGCTCCGGCAATAACAACTATTGCAAGTGGTAAGCCCCTACAATTTTCGGCTATAGATTTTCCAGGTAATTCTAACTCACGTGGACACTTCTCCTTGTAAAAAACCTTCTTCTCAAGTAGCTCCCAACTTTCATTTTTAGTTAGAAACTTTACATAGTGAGGTTTATCATTGCAATATCTGGCAACATTGCGGTGCGTAGTGGTCATCAAGACTCTACTGCATTTACCGTTATCGGGGAAAGCAATTTTAATGCGATCCCAAGCTTCCATCGTCCATACATCGTCTAAAACAATAAGATATTTCCCACCCTTGCCCAAAAGCTCCCGTGCTTCATCTGCTAAATCATCCTCTGGTACATCATAGTACTGTTTGGAGTTTCGAGTAAATTTGCTGATGATGTTCAGAAATATTTCCCTTCTCTTGTACAATTGAGAGACATTTACCCAAATGCAGGGGAAGAACTCACACTCAACCTTAGGATCCTTGTAAATCTTATATGCCAAAGTTGTTTTTCCAAGACCAGGCATACCAACGATTGGTACAACCTCAAGATGATCCGATCCTCCAATGAGACGATCAATTACAGTTTTCACTTCCTCATCAAAGCCTCCCACATTGTCTTCCTCAACTACAGGAACCTATTTTAAGATTTTAAATAAGAAAAAAGGCCATATATATGATATTAGAAATGTTTTTAAATAAAAGATGAAAAAACATGATTTTGAAACGAACGTGCTAATGCTGATATTATGAATGAATGGCAATTTAACACTTATGTAGCCATCCTCGGAGTGTGATGCTTTTTTCCTACTTTCTTTGTCAGATAGATGAATGTGACTCTATTTACACAATAAATAGAGCACATCAATTTATGTGAAGTCCTAGTTGAATGTGTCTGCACTCAATACAACAATATTCGTAATGCGATTTTGGTTAGATGTAGATTGTAGCAGAAAGCAACCATCTTTATAAATAAATAAAAAGCAACAAATTTGATGGCAACCACATTTCAAATCTATCGAAATCTTCTTTTTAGTTGGGAATATATTAGCTTTCACAATGTTACCTTTACTTGCATATATCATTCAATTCAAGCTCATCTCCACTCAATATCATATAAAATAAAAATGAAAAGCACTGGACTAGACGTTTTTTATATTTTCTACAGCACAAAGTACGGAAACAGCTAGCAAGGGCGTATGTAGAGATCAACTTATAAGTTCACCCTGCCCAATAACTTTGGCTCATAGAGACTCTGTATGTCTTAACTCTTAATAAGTTTACTAAAATCATGTGTGCTATGCGCGGGTCCGAGGAAGTACTTTGCGGGGTCCAGGGAACTACCGGACCATAATTGTTTGTTGTACACAGTCTTATCCATTTCTGCAAGAAGCCTTTTCTTGCATATATCATTGTTTATCGTTTTGAGTTAGGTCACGGCTCTCCTTCTAAATAAGTACAAATGCTTGATTTCGAACCTAATAAATCAAATGAGTAGTGTAATAAAATTTCGAAATAAAGACCACAAAATCCACTCTCATACCTTCCTCTCCTGAGCACCTTTGTTGAAATTATCATCAAAAGTAATAGCTTGAAGTCCATAAGCATCATTTTCGCGAATTACCTTCACCCTTTCCCTAATAGTATTAATCTCATCAGCAACCCCTTTAGCTCTAGTAACATGAGTAAGATGAAACCACTGAGCAAATTTGTTCATATCGTCATGTCTTTTAGCTTCAATCACAAACTTATCAATTGAATCTTCGGCATCATTTACCACTTTACTTATCTTCTTTACTAGTGATTTCAAGACTTCATTGTCTCTCCTGGATTTAGCTGCTTGTTTGAGAAAAGCATTGAAGTCATTCAGATCATGTAGTAAATGTTCAACTTCACCTTTTATTCCAATAATCAAGCCAGCGTTGTCGATTATTAAATGCATCAAGTTTTCTACTAGGAAATTCACTGCTACATCTGCCATGGCTGCAGCAGCTATGATCTTGCTCTTACTTGGTAAGTTGACTAAGAGAGTAAAGTTGAGCTAGACAAATGGGAGCTGCCAATTGCCAATTAATAATTGTAGAATTATTTAAAGATGTGGAAATCTTTATGACATTTTGTCGTTTTGTATGGTATTTCTTAGTGTTTGCTTATTTAAGATATTTCTCGTACAGTACTATTCTCTGCTACAATTAACTAGATTAGCGGCCATATTAATATTAAACTAAAAATAGTCCCATTCTTTTTAACTAATCCGATTTAAATATTTAGTCTCATATTTACTTTTTGTAGCCAACTACCTCAAAACCCACATATTTTCATTTGTTATGAAAATAATTATATTGTGCATATTCATTTATTACTCTGTTGAAATTTATCTACAAGCAGCTGATGCAGGCAGGTCGCAAACAACTCAATGAAATGATTTGCAGCAGCTTCTTATTAAACAGGCAGGTTGCAAGCAGCTCATGCAGACAACTTACAAGCAGCTAAAGAAAAGTCTTGCAGCTGTTTCCTGAAAAGCCTCGCATCTGCTTCCTTTCTTCCATATATAGAAGAGTTTTCAGTTCATTATGTACAAAAGTTTGAAATTTGAATAATATATCAATTTCTCTTTATAATTGTCTTTACTTTACAGTTTTTATTTTATAATACATTATCAGCACGAGACTCTGCCATCTCGAGAAAATACTTTGAAAGTATCAGAGATACGAACTTTTTTTTTCTAAATAATGTCAAATCTTTCTAAACTTGAGTTTGTAGCCCTGGATATATCGGGCAAAAGCTACATGTCTTGGGTGCTTGATGCCGAAATTCATCTTGATGCGATGGGTCTGGCAGACACCATCAAAGATAAAAATCAGGCATCAAACCAAGATCGTGCCAAAGCAATGATATTCCTACGTCATCACCTTGGNCTTGTTGAGTTTTATAGATATCCGCCGAAATGGGTATCATGTTGAAACAATAGATGAAATGAACATGGAATATCTTTGTATTACGAAGAATATTTCTGGCCAGAAATGCATTGCAGAAAAGTTACCAACTTTATCTTTTGGCTTATACTATTCAAAGATTAGTACAGTTGAAGCACACTCTATCGTAAACCAGAAGTTTACTGATTCAAATACTTTTGTGCTTTGGCATGGCCGTTTGGGCCATCCTGGATCAATAATGATGAGACGAATTACTGAAAATTCGAGTGGGCATCCATTAAAGAACCTGAAGATTCTTACAAATGATGAATTTTCTTGTGATGCTTGTTATCAAGGCAAAATGATCACTAGACCATCACCAATGAAGGTTGGCATTGAGTCCCCTACCTTTTTAGAACGTATACATGGGGATATATGTGGACTTATTCACCCACCAAGTGGGCTCTTTAGATATTTTATGGTCCTAATAGATGCATCTTCAAGATGGTCTCATGTTTGCCTACTATCATCTCGCAACCTGGCATTTGCAAAGTTATTAGCCCAAATAATTCGATTAAGAGCACAATTACCAGATTATCCTATAAAGGCTATTCTCCTTGATAATGCTGGAGAATTCTCATCTCAAGCTTTTGATAATTATTGTCTATCAGTTGGAATAAAAGTTGAACATCTTGTAGCTTATGTTCATACACAATCGCATTGCAAAGTCATTTATTAAACGGCTGCAATTGATAGCAAGACCACTACTTATGAAAATAAAATTGCCCACTACTGTTTGGGGACATGCTATCTTGCATGCAGCATCACTTATCCGTCTCAAACTGACACATTATAATAAATATTCTTCGTCACAATTAGTTTTTGGTCATGAACCAAATATTTCCCATCTACGAATTTTTGGATGTGTTGTATATATGCCAGTAGCACCACCACAACGCAGTAAGATGGGCCCCCAAAGAAGGTTAGGAATTTATATTGGGTTTGAATCACTCTCTATTATTCGCTATCTTGAACCATTGACGGGAGATTTATTTACTGCTCGTTTTGCAGATTGTCAATTTGATGATTCGTATATGGACATTGTCCTAGCTAGAACTTTAGTTTCTTGCAGATCTGTAAAAAAAATTAAAAAAAATAAAAACTCCTGTTTTCTTGTACGCAAGATCTAACATGGCAGTTAACTGAGAAGAAAGGATGAAGATAGTGGTCGATCTCACCACCAACCTCTTAAATACCATCAATGAAGTTTCCGAAACGGAAGGCGAAGATGTAACGCCCAATGCCTCTCCCAAGCAAAGGGGCTCTCCCCTCCCCCATAGTAGCATCACAACATCCCGCGGCAAAGAGGCTTCCACATCTACAAGGGAAAAAGCGCCACCAGTAGTGAAGAAGCTACTTGAGTCTTGGTTAACAAACACACTGACCAGCATCCTCAACAAACCTTCCCAAAAAGCACTGAGAGAAAATACAAAAACCCGAGTCGCATCAACGACGGCCGAGCAGTACGACACATCTAACAATATTAATAATGCAAGCGATGATGCCCTCACGGCCATTCTGATAAAGATGGAAGAAATAGAAAGTGAAAAAAAATGCTTCGAGACCAAATGAAAGAGCATCAGGAAATGGTAGACAAAATACCGAGCATCCTGAAACCCTTACCAAAAGGAGATGCTGGTTTGTTCATTGAACAACCGTACAACGATGAAGCCTCCCCCCATGCCATACCCAAAACCTTTAAAATTCAGTCGTACCTAAAAATATACGACGGTACAACCGACCCTGAGGATCATGTGACTCATTATGTAACCGCAGTAAAAGGCAACAACCTCACCAAAGAACAATTGTCCTACATCCTGTTGAAAAAGTTTGGTGAAACTCTCACCGGGGGCGCATTAACTTGGTATTCACAACTGTCCGCACGCTCAATTGAAACTTTTGAAGAGATGGCCGACAAGTTTGTGACAGCCTATGCCGAAGCTAAAAAGGTTGAGGCAAGGATGAATGACATATTTTTTGTCAAACAGTCACCTAGAGAAGGATTAAGGGACTTCCTTGCTTGATTCAACCGTGTAAGGATGGCCTTACCAAATGTATCAAAAGGTATGGTTGTAGTTGCTTTCCAAAATGGGTTAAACAGAAGAGGTTCGAGGGCGACCAAGAAGTTGCTGAGTCGACTCATGAAATACCCTCCAACCTCTTGGGATGAAATACACAGTGCCTACAGCGCCGAATTTCGTCCTGGCAAAGACGACCTAAATGGACCAACCCAACGGTTGACCTCAATACAGGACGAGTTCAAAAGAGATAGAAGAAACACCATAGAGGACCTAGCAGTTCTACGACCCAACCGGTAAAGGTATCAGCCGTACATCAAGAGTGCCATCAGGGCGCCCTCCCATCACAAAGAAGGCCCATCTAGGCCAAGGACATGGACTAAACAGAGCGAGAGAGGTATGCCCCCTTTATTGTCTGCTCACAATTTTTGTGTCTCACCTTCAGAAGTAGTCTACGCATTGGAGAAGCTCAGCCCAAAAGTGAAGTGGCCGTAGAGAATGAGGTCCGACCCGAACACCAGGAAATCAAACGCCCTCTGTGAATTCCATCAGGAACGAGGTCATAAAATCGAGGATTGCATTGCACTAAGGCAGGAAGTTGTGAACATGCTTCACCAAGGGCATTTGAAAGAGTTGTTGAGCGACCGAGGAAGGGTCAACTTTTCCCGAAGGCATGAACAACACTCATGAATGGTACGACGAACAGCGTAAAGTTCACCATGACCCACAAACTCAAACGGTTGATCACTCATGAATGGTACGACGAACTCAAAGAAAGTATCATCTTCGATAAGTCAGATACCCACAATTTGGTTTTCCCTCACTATGATGCTCTTGTTGTCACATTACGAATATTAGATACATATGCGTTACTACTTCATCGAGGTTAGGCTCAGCACTTACCAGTACATGGGGTCGGTTGTACTGATACTATACTCTGCACTTCTTGTGCAGATTTCGGAGTTGGTCTCAGCGGCGTGCCATAGACTTGCTCGGATTTCAGCTACTCGGAGGAGACTTAAGGTATAACTGCATGACGTCCGCAGTTATGAAGTCCCCATCTATTTTACTTTAGCTGTGTGTTTATTTTCAGACAGCTTTATTTTATTCAGACCTTTAATTGTATTTATTCTAGAAGCTTGTGCACTTGTGACACCAAATTCAGGGATGGTATTTAGACACCGTTGTTTTTACGGATTATTTTACTATATTTCAAACTTTGCTTCCGCATTTATTTTCTTGATTATTAATAATTTAAAAATTATTTAAAAATTGGTTAATATTATTCTAACGTTGGCTTACCTAGCAAGTGAAATGTTAGGCGCCATCACGGTCCCAAGGAGGGAATTTTGGGTCGTGACAGTACTTTATTTGTACTGACGTTCCTTTTTCCTGGGGACGCTGCATTTCATGCCCGCATATCCCGATAGACAGGTTGAGAGTTCTCCTAGTAGGCTATCGGCTCACTAGAAGGTGTTTGTGCACTCCACTTGCTCCTGAGTTACTTATTTTTTCAGTATGATTTGAATTTGTATTGATTGGTATGGCGGGGCTCTATCCCTAACTATATGATATTTATGTACTCTTAGAAGCTTGTAGACATATGTCATGTATACAGATATTGGTATGGCATTATAGGCCAGTACGCCATATGTATAAGTCGGTATATCAAGTTGGGTCACCCTATATTGAGTATTTTCTCATGTTTTATTCTACTTATCTCACGACAGCCTCTCAGGCTCATTTACCTATGATAGTATGATACGAAAGATATGTTATGTTGCTATTCGGTTGAGTAAGGTACCGGGTGCCCATCGCGACCCATCGATTTGGGTCGTGACAACATCGTTTATTGCGAAATAGAATTTTCGCCTAACTTGCCTTACTAGAGAATAAAATGGATCGATGTTCAACTTGTGCGTCGCGATCTCTTTCGGGATCCTTGGCATCTCTGCATGGGAAAAGGAAAACAAGTCTGCATTATTAGTCTGCATTGAAGTTTGTGACCGACATAAGCTTTTTTGATGTGGTCTTTGTCATCGAGTTGGACGGGGTTGAGATTTCTACGGTTGATCCTGTGGCTTCTATTA